CCTGTTTAACATTCCAGAGCAAACACAAGAGAACACAAACTGTCTGTACCAACTGCCAGTCACAGCAGCCGGGCTCTTTTACCCTTTCATGCTTTTTTCCCCATATTCCAAAAAACTGTTTCCCCCAAAGAATTATCCGTTTTATTCCATGATAACCCTGGTTTGAAGTGAAATAGAGGTAGCTCTGACCCCCCAACAAATGGATTCTTTTCAGACTTAGAGCACTTGTGATAGTGTGATGATGCTATGGCGGGCTGTGTCTACCTTAGACTCAGCGTAATTATATGTGAAGCAACAATTCCCTTATCTATTAGGAACACTTGCCATGGCTAGCTGCACTTCGCTGTCTGGGAGATGAAATACAGAATTAAAATCTCCAGCTAGCTTCTCAAGAAGTTGTGGTTTTTTAGTTAGTCCCCCCCCTTCCCCCAGCCATTGTATAATCTTTTAGCCATTCCAGTAAAGGATGGCAAAGCAGATGATATTTAAAGACCTTTGTGAGATTATTAAAGCAGACGTGCCTGTACTTCTTGTTTCCTCAAATTGTCTCTCTTTGTGATAGTTAATTTGGGGTGGTTTCAAACCGTTGGACCTTCTGAAGCTGTCCAACATTAAATTGATGAGTGATAGTTGGAGCATTAAATGTAAAAGCAGTAGATAATTATCTCTGATCACAGTCTGTATTATCTCTAGTACAGTCTCACCAACACAGGAAGGGTAGGTGTCCTTCCTGCCCACACTCTTTGCAGAGACCCCATCTCAGTAGAACTCCACAGTGGGACTCCGATTCATTGTTTCCGGAAGAAAAACAGAAACAGGTGGCCATTGAGGTAACAGAGATACTGTGTTGCTTAAAGTCCTCCTGGAATGCCACATCACAGGACTAGTGTGCAAGGCAGACCAATATTTAGCACCACTTCACTTGATGTGTATGTATAAGCTGAGTCTGATTTTATAACTGTCCCCAAATTAAAATGCGGAAGGGGCGGGGCGGGGGGGCGGGCTTTGAGCTAATGTCAGAGAAGGGGAGCACTGAACCCCCCTAATGATAAGGGATCCTCAGGGCAGAGAAAGCTGAGGCACAATATTAGGAAGGTCTGACTGTCTGGGAGGATACGAGGATTGAGTACCAGAGATTTTAGTTACTAACAGTCAAACCAATGGGTTCCAGTCACTGTCTAATTAACTCACACGGTTGCTGCAAGAGAACGATTTGTGGTGCTGGTGTTGGTTGGTGGTTGGCGGTGGTGTGGGGTGGCCTGGTGGGGGCGATGGTGGTGAGTGTGGTGGTAGCTATAGGCAGTTCACAATTGGGAATGCCTTCCTTGATGCTCAGGATGGAGAGCTGGGACAGCGAAATAACAAGGATTGGAGGGAAACTTCAAACCCTGCCCCCATCACGTACCAATCACGTGACCCTAACCAAGTGTGGACAACGTGTCATTCCATTGTATGTAAGGTTGATATGAGTCAGAATAGATTTGGTGGTACTTAACAACAAGCAAGTGACTTAGCTCCAAGCCTTTCTTGCTCCAGATAGAGATCATATCACCCCATTAGGCATTTAATTCATTAAGTTTATATCTAATATTAAATCCCCCAGGCACTCCATGGGAAAGAGATGAGGTTGTCTGCTGCCCAAAAGATTTTCAGTTTCAGAAACCCTACATAGGGTCACTGTGTGTCAGAATCAGCTTAATGGCAGTGAGTTGGGTTAATAAATGGTAGCAATTATTATTAATAGACAAATGTGCAGAGCTTAGTCATTCTGTTCACCAACCAAACAACCACATTACTGGACACTCATGGATGTAGGCCCTCACTGCCTCGTGAGCCTATTGTGTTGAGTGTCCACTTTGCCACCTGCTCTCTCAATTCCTGTGTACAGAGACCATGCTGTTAGTTAGAGGAGAAGGAAAGCCAGAACATTTGCTTGGAAGCACATTCTGGTTGGACTTATTGACCTGATCCACAGCAAGTTTTACCCAAGTTTTATCATGCTGCCTGTTAACACTTAGGTATCGTCAACTGAAGTACTCTGAAATGTACTAAGGTCAATATGCATGTATAAACCCTGGATCTTTTTGAAGCTTAAGTGATCAGACTCTTGACTATGACTTATATATCGTGTGTGTGTGTGAAAGTATACACCATAAGTGTAAAGAACATGCCAATAACATGCCATTTTACCGAAACAGCTCACCGGGGTCAACAACTGAAACCAACAAAAGATGCAAACTGATTCTAATATCCTTCAAAATATCATTTTGTAACACACTTTTTTGTGCTGTTTTACAACTTAATTTAAAAATGAATGAGGCAGTAATAATAAGCTTTTTAGCTAATTATTATTTTTAAATTAAATCTATGCATTAAAAATAACCATTTTAATTAAATACAAGTTGCCGGCAACTAATCATTAAAATTGGAACTCGTAACTTGAGATTCATCATTCTGCAGCCACTTGCACCACGCGTCTAATGGGCTCTTTCCTCTATTGAAGGGAAGGACTGAATGCATTTCCCTGAAGTGGCAGTTAGTAAAAGATAACCCTTATTCTGGTCAGGGTTGTCACATTGATGTTGAAGCAGAGCAAAGAAATCTGCTTTACTAAAGAAACTTCGCTCCAAACTCTATTCCTAGTCACTAATCCGGCTCTAATTTAGCCTGTCTTCTAGTTCTGTGAGCACTTAAGAAAATTCCTCATAATCGTAGTAGCCTGTTTCTCTGCAAAAGATTGAGTTTTGCAGGGGCGAGGTGGGGGGAAGGGAGGGATGAAGCATGGGGTAGGCTGTCCCCAGCTGCTGGCTTGGGCGAAATGGAGGCCAGTAGTCCATAAGAGAGAAGAGAAATCCAAGATCGGGTAAAGGGTCAACTGCTAGGGAGTTTGATTAATAACCCTAATTGTTGAATACAAAATTGATTATCTGAAATGTAAGCCCCTCACCTAATTCACAATAAGAATTGTTTAAAAAAAGATGCATTTGTTAAAAATGCTTATTTTTTATGGAAGCTCAGAAAAAGAAAAATCCGAATGTGATTAAAAATTTTATTCAAATAATGTATTATAATTATAATTATAATTTCACTAATGTAAAATAAATTATCTTTACAGAAACACGTTACTGTAAAGATTCCAAATTTTTAATTTATAAAAACATCAATGTGTATATTTGTGTATTTAAATTTCTGGTTAGAAGGAAATAATTGGCTGTTTCTTACAGTCATCACTCAGCATAAATTCAGAGGAGATGGTAGATACTTAATGTTTATAAATTAGGTGAGTAAGTACATGTATCACTGAAAGGACTCTTTTTGGAAAAGTTACTATGTTTGCCATTATGACTGACCTTCCACTTTAACCTGCCGCGTTAGAATTGCTCATAACACTGCAGCGCATCCACTCCCAGCTTTGGGGGCAGTCGGCTTGCCTGGGCTCTGTGACTTTGCTGTGTTCTGGAGCAAATGCAAAGGTTAGGGCTTTATGAAAGGAGAGCCTCTGTGACTGAGTCGGATTTCAAGGCAAGTTCAAGTGTTTGTTCCTGGTACTAAACACCTGTAATTACTGATTGTCACATTCTTCTGTTGTGACAACGGAACTAATTGAAGGTACTTCCCGCAGGGGGCGAGTTCCTCGGTGTAATGAGTGTTGAGTGCCCTCTTGAGTGTAGCGTTTTAATCATTCACAATTATACTATGTTCTGCTTATTTGGGAACCTGGAAAACAATTTTAGTTTATCAAATAGATTGAGATGCAGAAGATCTGGGGCATTGTCTTGTTCATTGTATCTTAGGATCAGCAGGCCTGTGAACGTACTGAGGATGTCTCATGAACACTGGACGCAGTGTTCTGGCTGATGTGTGGCTACTCTCGTGGGTGACTGAGTCGGCGATGCATTGGGGCTGGTTGCTGGGCACCGACCCTGAGATGACAGAGTGCACTTTTTGGAACTCCTTTCCTGATTTCTCTGCAACTCTGCTGGCAATATTGGGATTGTAAGCTGTGATGTGAAAGACTGACAGGGACTCAAATGGAAGAACTAAAAATAATATATGACAGTGTTTAATCAGAGAAGAGAGCATCACAATACATCCCAGGGCTGGCAATTAGCCACCTGTGTCCATTCATTCTTAAGGTCTTTTGGAAAGAGAAAAGGTGTGTGTGAGAGAGTGTTCACTTTCCACCCTAAATGTATTTGCATACAGTGAGCTCATGGGAAAGATGTATGTCCCTGGCACTTGGAGAATAGAGTAATCGTTGTGACTGCAATTAATGAATATATATTAGTGATCGTGATGATAATGCATTGGGTTCAGACTCCTACAATCTGTTTAGATGCCATGGAACGTTTTAATAATAGCCGGAAATAACAATGAGCTATTGCTTTATAAAACGAGTTGGCGTTGCAATCTGTTTAATTTCCCCCTTGCTTTTATTTTTATTCTCTGCGTCTAATACAGCACTTTAGTGTGAGTGCCAGACATGTAATCTGTAGCTTGAGAGGTACCCAGGTCTTGTGTAATCTAGATGCCATTTACAAAGAAGCACTAACTGCTAAGTAAATTTGAGTTGAAGCAGAGGTAAGAATGGTTAGAATGGATAATCATCACATGGTCTGAAAACGATCAATCTGGTGGCACACACTATTCAGTCTTGGGAATAAAATTACATGTAACCAACCTCACTTAAAAATCTCAGCAAGCAGATCATCAGAGACAAAGTGCTGCTACAAGAGCCTTATTTGAAAGTACTTGTGGGTTGTTCCCAATTTACAAGCCTATCAAAGGGAATTAGCAATGACACGTTTCAGAGTTAAAACTCAAGTGTGATCTCTGCTTATCAGAAAAAAAAGTTAATAATGAATTGGAAGTATAACGAAGGAGAAATGAAATGATCATCTACAATATACTTCTTACCTCAATAAGTCTTCAGCCACAAATACTAAGGGACAAACAAAAAAACCTAATTGGTAAATCCCTTTGCCTCTGTTCACCTGCAGGTGCTAATAAGCAGCAAATAACCCCAAAGGACAGCCATAGGTGAGGAGAGGCCATGGAATACCCATCAACCAGATACTCAGCGCTGGAATAATTGGGAAGTGTCTGAATGTAGGTATGTGAACCAAAGACTTGGATGCTCTTGCAGTGTGTGACCTGGCTTTCCCTCGTCCCCCCATGTACACAGCTGCCCGTTGATTGGCTTGCTGAAAGCCCTGCCTCGCACAGCTTGGGGTGAACACAGCCGCTCAGAAAGCTCTGGCAGCTCTCCAGCAGGTACACGTGCCAGGCCTCCCTCTCCTCTGGAGCTTTGGGTCATGACTGCTCTGAAGGAGCTCTTTTCTCCGCGTTCATGCATGGGAATCTTCCTCCCAGTGCAGGGGTCTTCATTGTCCTGATCCCACAAAGACGTGGCCCATGCTGGTCCCTGAGAGATCTTTCCCAACTCCTCTTGCTTGTTTTAGTCGCCTAAGTTCACCAACGTGATAAAATCTTGCTGATTTCCTCAGCCGTATTATTTCTGAGTGATGTCCATAGGGTATAGGTTTATGCCATTCCACTTGCACTTGACAGCACGTGCACTCTATTGGGCTCTGTCTCTTTAGGTAGATGTCCTGTGCCCTAAGCACAGCTGTTTATTCCAGAAAGGCAGAGCAGTCACATTCGTTCATGGCAGATCCCAGAGTGTGGGGAAACGGGTGTGGCGGGAGCGGAAAGCACAGTGGTTAAAAGCAGACTCCAGAGCTAGACTGCCTGAGTTTGAGATCCTGTTCTACTGATTTGAGTCAGAGGACAGAGTAGAACTGGTCCACAGAACTTTTCAGGCTCTAAACTTGCCAAGAGCAGATCTCCAGGTCTTTTCTTAAGTGAAGCAACTGATGAGTTCATCCCCACCCCACCCCCACCCCCACCTTTTGGTAGGCAGCCAGACTTAACCATTGTACTACTCAGGTCACCATCTATCTCACTTCCGTGAATAATAATCTATAATAAATGTTATTATCCCCATCTGAAATGTAGTCAATATAGCCATAATCCTGTATGTCATACATGATAATTCTGAACTCTATACCTGTGGCTGGGATTAAGTCCTACCAGGAGTAGATGCTGTGAACCAGATCACATCCTTTACTTCCTTGGGGATCTGGTCTACTAAAAGACAAAAACAACACTTCCATTAAAACCATTCCTCTGTGCCTGCATGCCATCTTGAACGCAGCAAAAAAGCCAAGAGCCATCAGAAAAAGAGCATGTTCAAGGTCTTTGTCTGAAGTACTTGAAGCCAAGATCAGAGGCACCAGCGACTGGCAGGGGGAGACTATGGGGCAGAACATAGTGTCCAGGCCAAGACCACAGTCCAAGGCAATGAAGCTATGAGACTAAATAAAGGCATAGTATCAAGATTATAGAAGTGTGAAGCTAAGCCACTGATGGGCTTCCTAGTTCATGGAGGCAGAGGCCAAAGGTCCATGTGGCTGAGAGGCTGATGCTCAGAGAAAGGCTTGGCTGCTAGCTGAGAGAAGGTGTTGCAATGGACTGATGACTGTATCCTTGCTGTTTACTGATAACTGTCATACGGTAACCTACGAACTTCCTTAATAAACTCCCCATAACTGTGAGTATTGTCTGTGAGTTCTGTGTGGCCATTGCAATGAATTGTCAAGCCTAGCATGGAAGTAGGGCTCAGTGGGAGAAATGGTTGCTAGCAGAACAGGGGGAAGAAGGATGGAGGGTAAAGGCATATCGGCTCCTTTCCTTGTGGCAATAGCGAAGCCAGTAGAGGTGAGATGCAACCTCCCTGCTGTTAACTGTACCTTCCTGAAAACAGGAAAGCCGTGACCATGAGAAGTCATACCGCTGTCTAAAATCACAAGAAAGCAGCATCAGAACTGGAGTGTCTGACCCAGTGGTGAGATGGATGACTTCTCTTTGGCCTTTCTCTTGTAAGTGCTACCAGTAACTGAGTGGGGCTACGCCAGTGGGTTGCTTGTGGCCCACCAATGGGATTAGATAGCTTGTTAATAATACAAATAAGATACCTGGCACCCTGTGGAAATAGTACCATGCATCTAAAGTGTATGGAACACTAAGGAAGGGTTTGGTCAATTTAGCCATCTCACTAGGATTTAAATGAGCCATCTCAAAGGTGGACAGCGAGGAGCTCATTACCACCAAAACGGAAGCGCTAAGAGTGGAATATATTCTTTGAACCACGGATCCCTGCACTGGGAACCTCCTGGGCCCAGGAGGGGCAGAGAGAACTATAACGCCAATCATGGCACAAAGCAGTGACAGAGAAATAGAGACAGCAGAGCCAACAGACTGGCAATTGATGAGAGCTGACATACGGGCAAGAAAACTGAGTACCTTTGGGCAGGAGGCTTGCTGGTGAAATGAAATGTCTCCAGGCATGTGACATAGCTAGAATAGCTGACTCAGAGACAGAGTACTGGGCAACTTCTGGCTGGGGTACCTCTGGTTGTTTATTGGTGAAGATAAAGAACTTTGTAACATAGCCCAAGTGGCACAGAGATGGGGATGGCCCGAGAGTCTGAGTGGCAAAAAGCTCAAAGCCAGGGAGAGGCCTGCCATTAGCCTCTCCAAGAAACTGACTGAAGAACTGTATCCCAAGTCATTCCTGGTCCTGAAGTGCACCCTATTGCTTCCTTAATAAACCCCATAATTGGGAGTATTACCTGTGAGTTTTCATGACCAGAGAGAAAAAAAGAGTACATGGGAGGAAGGGCTGGTGTGAGAAATTGGTAGAAAGTGTGGGAAAGGGAGGTATGTATGGTCTCTTCCTTGGATTGTGGATACTAAAATGGATCCTCTTCCCCACTTGTGAAGTTAGGCGAGGAGGATTAGCGCGTCCTCCCTGCTCGCTCCATGGACTGTAAGGCTACACTGGGTTTGCT